TGTGGTGAAGATAGGCGTTGTGGCGCGCGCAGGCGCCGCGGGGCACGCAAACATTGTGGTGTGCGCAGGCGCTGCGTTGCGCATGGTTGCTGCGGTGTGCGCATGTACACCCGCGCTGTAGTGTGCACGAGCACTGCGGCGTACACGGGCGCTGCGTTGCACGCGGTTGTTGCGATGTGCGCAGGCGGCGTGGTGCACGCGCGCGTTGTGGTGCACGCGAGCGTTGTGGTGTACACAGGCGCAGTGGGGCAGATCTCCACCTACATGCTGCTCGCGTCGTCGTCGTCGTCGCTTGTCGCTCGTCGCGTCGCGCGCGCGGGCGCGGCTGTGGTGCCGGAGCCGCGCGGCGGGAGGGGCGTTGCGTCATAGCCCCCCCCGCCCCCCCCCCCATGACGCCGCCCGTCATCGCCGAACATAAAGAAACGCGTTCTTGGGCACGTGTCAGATTCAACCTTTTGATGCGACGGAAAGTGCCGCCCAGCAGCCGGCAATTGAGGCCCACTACCAGGGCCGAGACAGAGCAACAACCGAGCAGAGATCTCGGCATTCTACAACTGCATCGCGAGCACATACTGCGACCTACACTTCTGGACCGACTCCGACTTGCTAGCAGGATGGCGAGGCAACAGGCACCAAGGGCCATTCACTCAGGGCTCCAGCGCTGACATCTGGTACGACATCCACAATGCACTGCGCGACAGAGACGGCACCATCAACAGTTTCGAGATCGAAAGCCACCTGGCCCTAGACGAGGCCATCCTGCGAGGATTTCCCAAGCATGCCTGGGCATGCAACCGTTTGGTCGACGCAGTGGCAGATTAAGCAGCCGCGGACCACAGCATCAGCCACAGCCAGCTCGACTGCTACGAATGAATCAGAGCATGTGCGGTGCGGGTGCGCGACAGGATATGTGAAGCCACGCGAGAAGCCCTCGAGAAAAAGGTCTCCAACACTACCGTCACGACGCCAGCAGCGAGACGACGACCGCACCGACGACTTGACGGACCGACCAACGCCACTACCCACCTTGGCGACGCCATGCATGGTGGAGCCACGTTGGCACGATGGGAGCGCCAGAGCTGCCACCACTCGGCCGCCAAGACGGGCGCCAAACACATCACCAGACAATGGATGACATCGCCCTGCGCGGGGCGCGAAGTCACGGCACGACCGCGGATAAGCACCTTGATAGTCAGTGACTTCACGCACCCATCGCACCACATGATCTACAACGACGGGGGGCAGAGGTGGTTCCGTGTACTCTGCGCGGGGCGAGCCAGCCCAGGGCAGAGAGGCTACCTCGGACATCTGCTACGTGAACCATGCTCGGGCACGCCGACGACGCCATCAGCCACATACCTGCTGAGCAAGCTGCTGAAGGGTGTCAGCTGGAACGGAGTCTTGGACGACGCTGCGCCTACAGGGCCTGCTGCAGCACGACGGGCAAAGCCTAGTGTCCCACGCGGTGTGCCGCCCCTGGGAAGCTCACGCTTGGGTCCTTCTCAGGGGCAAGAGCCCCTCCGCTCAGGCCCCTTGTGAGGGCGCAGCGTCCCACGCCACAGGCCGCCGCCTGGTGGTCAAACTTGAGGGTTTCGTCGCCAGTGGACTCGCATGTTGCAGCAGGCCAAACTATTCATGCCGATGGTGGCTTGCAGGAGCGGGGGTGACGTACACTACGCGCTGATATGATGATTTGGGACCCGCGGGCATGATGAACCTGTTGTGCCGGCCGCGAGCTGGGCAGCTCTGTCGTGATACGGGGCCCATCGACACGCCGAGCGTGCTCGTGTGTGGCCTCGACTACGCGTTCGCAATCGAGCTCTGGCGGGTCCTGGACTACATGGAGGGCACCGAACTGTAAAACTTCGAGTGCTGAGAGTTCCTCGACCTCGACGAGACCCGCTGCGACAAGTCGGGTGACGGGCTCGCTGGGTGGTCGTGCCTGTGCCGACCTTCGTTCGGCCCTCCCCAAGAGGGCGCGAACTATGCCATCCAGAGCTTCTGCACCCACACGGTCTGGGGCTACGGCCTCTTGCGCCTTGCCCAAAGGGCACGGGCACCCCTGGTGCCCAGAACCAGCGCCTCCGCTCCGCCCCGCCCCGCTCCCCAGGAGGGCGTGCCCAACGAGTCGGCGCGTGCCCCGACCGCTGTCCGCAGTGCGGTCGCGCGTGCGGGGCCGCCGTCCTCGCGCCCCGCCCCCGCGGGCCGCGCGGGGGCCCGCCGCCCGCGGCCGCGGGCGACGAAGCCACAGTGTCGCGCAACGCGTCCTCCTCCTCCTCCTCTTCCTCCTCCTCCTCCTCCTCCTTCTCCTCCTCCCCCTCCTCTCCCTCCTCCTCCTCCGCACCCTCCGACTCCGAGAGCGCGGGGGAGACTCCGACTCCGTGGCTGCAGGGGCATGGTGGAAAACCTGGGGCGAGTGATTCCATCCTGCGGTCGGGAACTTTTCCTTCGCGTCTTGCGCCGCCGGTTTTGGTTTGCAATGCTGCGGCTCGACACGTTAACCGTGTCCTGGTCCCCGAACGTCAACGTCCAGAGCCTCTCGAAGTCTCCTGTCCCGCGAAGCGGAGCGACACGCTATCCGCTTGCACATAGCGTGTCACCAGGGCCGCCGCCGCGACACGTTAACCACAAGTTCCTGATCGTACGACTCTGGAAGACGGATGAACGCAGGAGGGCGCAGGGGAGACTCCGACGCAGCATCGACGTCGGGCGGCTGCGGGGGGACATCGGGGAATTCCACCCTACAATCAAGACGCTGAAGTCAGGAGTACTTCGGGGTCAGAATGGGCTCTCTGCTCCTTAAGTCCTGCCATGGTTGTTCCTCTAGCGTTCGTCGTGCATCCAGGCGCTCTCTGGGGTCAAAGAGGGGCTTCGTTCTTCACTTGGCGTCCCTGGTCACAGCAGCTTGGCCGTACGACTCTGGACGAGAGCGCAGACGGATGCGCGCAGACACTGCATCGGGGTCCCATCAGGGCTCAGAAGGCTTTCGCCCTTCTGGACAAGCTCTCTGAGCCTTCTTTGCAGCCGCACAGGGCTTCTCATGAGGCCAGAGGGTTTCTGAAACGCCCCGCCGCCTTCTGAGAAGGCCTGCCCCCTCAATGATTCTCGTCGTATGGTTGTCGGGTCGTAGCGCGGGTCTCTGGCAGCCGTCCGGGACGATCCGGGCACCCCCGGAACACTGTCGGCGAGGCGCAGCTGCTGGAACCCACCCCGAGGCTGGAAAGCCGCCGAGCACCGACGAAGCCGTCCGAAAGCCTTTAACGGGGAGCGCGCGCGTGCGCGCGCACGTGCGTGCCGATGCATCTGGCTGGGCGCCGCCGCCTTGCAACGCGCGGCCGCCCGTTCGCGGGTCGCGGCGGGGGCGCGCGGCGCTGGCCTGTGGCATGGGAGGGCTCTCGCACAGGAGGTGCCTCTCTGGCCTCCCGTCCCGCCTTGCCCCGATCCCTTCTCCCTTCCCCCTTCGATTCGGGGGGGGAGGGAGAGAAGGGCACCAGGCTTCGAGCGGAACCGCGGGCATCAGGCTTGCTTAGCGCTGTCGTGTGTAGGGGCAATTTGCAGTGGCAGTGCGAATCCTTTTACTATGTTGGCTGAGGCGTGATAACACATGATGGGTCTGTGTTCCAAGGGGGAAGAAACTCCCCCTTCTCCCTTCGATCCGTGGGACATCCCTCCCGACAGCGCTGAAGGTGACGAGGAAGACCCACTCGGCCTCGGGGGTGCCCTAGACAACGACCATGACGACCTCCCTTACAAAGGCCTGGTTGCCACGACAGCGATGGCCACGACGCGGACGGCGACAGTCCACCTCCACTCCCGAGCAGGCACACGACGTCAAAGACCCATGATGTGGAGGTCCACCAGGACCCCATCGCAGGCAACCCACTGCGACCCACGTATAACAACATTGGGATGATACGCGCAGAAGGCAGCCATCATCATCATCATCATCATCATCATCATCATCATCATCATCATCATCATCATCATCATCATCATCATCACCATCATCATCAGCAGCATCATCATAATTATCAGTATCAGTATCATCATCATCATCATCATCATGATCATCATCATCATCATCATCATCTTCTTTGTCTTCATCGTCATCACCATCATCACCACCATCAGCATCAGCATCAGCATCAGCATTATCATGCTAATCATTATCATCATCATTAGCATCACTATCATCATTTTCATCATGTTCATCATCATCACCATCATCACCATTATCATCATCGTCATCATGATGATCATCATCATCAGCAGCATCAGCAGCATCATCATTAACATCTTCAACTTCAGCTACAACATAATCATCATCATCATCAGAAACAGCAGCAATATTATCGTCATCGTCGTCACCATCATCACCACCATCATCATCATCATCATCACCATCATCATGCCTCCCTCTCTTACACCCTGCTTCTTATCCTCCTCCCCCTCCTCCTCCTCCTCCTCCTCCTCCTCCTCCTCTTCCTCCCCCTCCTCCTCCTCCTCCTCCTCCTCCTCTTCCTCCCCCTCCTCCTTGTCCTCCTCCTCCTCCTGCTCCTCCTCCTCCTTTTCCCCCTTATCGTCGTCCTCCTCCTCCCCCTCCTCCTGCTCCTCCTCCTCCTTCTCCTGCTCCTCCTCCTCGTCGTCCTCCTCCTCCTCCTTCTCCCAACCTCCTCCTCCTCCTCTCTCCTCCTCCTCTCCTCCTCCTCCTCCTCCCTCCTCCTCCTCCTCCCTCCTCCTCCTCCTCCTCCCTCCTCCTCCCCCTCCCCCTCCTCGTCCTCGTCCTCCTCCTCCTCCTCTTCCTCCTCCTCCTCCTTCTCCTCCTCCTCCTCCTCCTCCTCCTCCTCCTCCTCCTCCTCCTCCTCCTCCTCCTCCCCCTCCCACCCAAGCCCCAGCCCTTGCCTGCCCCTCCCTGCCTTCTCGTGCCCCTCTCTGCCCTCCCTCCCCCCGCCCCCCCCCCGCCGCCCGTTCCCGCTCCTCGCCTCCGCTACCCCCTGGAGGCCGAGTCCAAGCACCTCGAGCTGAGCTCCGGCTGCGTGGATGCGGCCGAGGGCGACGGGGGGCGGGGGGGAGATGCGGGGGCCCAGCGCGCCAGAGCGTCGGCCTGGCAGGCCCCCCCCTCGCGCGCGGCTGGCGCGGAAGGGTGCGGGCTGGAGGTCCCGGGAGGGGGCCCGCGCGCAGGCCCGCGGAGGTGCGCGGCCCCTCCTCGTTTTTTCCTCTCGGGGGCCCTTGCGTCTCTCCAGGGGGAGCGACGGGAGGGGATCGGCTCAGGGCGGCATGCGTCGATCCCCGATCGCCCAGTCATCGCCGAGGGGGGGCCCGATGGCCCCGCCCCGCCCAGGAGCGTGCGCAGTCGCTCTCGGGGCCCTTTCCCTGATCGATCGGCGATGAGCTCGCCGATTCCAGCTCGATGTTTACCCCCCACGCGCTGGTCCCCCCTTCTCGTCGCCCTCCTCTCTCCATCTGCCTTGCCCCCCCTCTCTCTCTCTCACCGTTCGGCTTCTTTCCCAATGTGCCACCTGCGCAGGAATGGTGCACGCGTGCGTCTGTGCGAGTCGCTGCTCGCATTGCGCAGTCACCCCTTACCCCGTGTGGCCATTCATCGATATCTTTGCCGATGTGTTGTCTATTTACTGTTGATTCGTCCTGGCATTGCATTTGTGCTCTCAGTGTTCGAGGTTGTGAGATCCCTGCAGCTTGCACATGTCAATCAGCTCGACACAAACAGACAGACGTGATGTAAAGCCTGATGCAGCTTTTAGTTTGTAATCATGCGTTAGTGTCCTCGCAACTTCGGCGCAGGCACGCGTAATCACAGAAATCGAAAAATCGCTCGCTCAATCAATTATTGAATCCCCGTCTAGCTTGTTATGTCATCGTCGCTAACGTTGGTACCGACAAGTCGATCCCGCCCCTCGAAGGGTGTACGGAGGGTGCGGCGGTGGTGAATTGACACGCAGCATTGAACATGATATGCTGAAGCTGTCCAGGGCGATACCTTCTCATGCTTATCAGTTGTTCGTTGTTATTTTCCGTTTCCTGCAATGGATTGACATACAACGCACAGCACGTCTACGGCATCGCGTTGGCTGATTTTCGAGAGCTTGGAAGCTGGCTCGCAGACAGCCTGGCCAGGTGACTTGTGCTACCGCACCGTCAGATGGTTGAAGAAGACGGGCCTCGAACAGCACCCTGACTGGCGCTGGAGGGAGACCAAGAAGACATGCCCATCGACCCAAATTTTCTTATGATTGGGCAAGGTATTGATCAAGACACCCAGCGCCTGCAAGTTGTAGCTGTGGTGGCGGTGTGTATGTATGTGTGAATCGGTGGGCGCAAGGAGCGAGACAGGGTTGTTCATGATTTACTTCCACAGCTTATATGAAGATGAATTCTATACATTCGTCCAAGCAGATTGTTCCACATCTCGCCTCATCAGATCTTTGATGCGTGGGCGTCTTCCAGTTTCGCCTCGATTGACCATCGCACAGCTTTGAACTCCCCAAGTTAGGTTAAACTGAGAAAGCCGGAAGGGAAGAGCCACGGACACTTCAAGAGTCAACCAGATGTGTATTGGTCGGTATTCGAGAGCCTTCGAAGCATCAGACAGTTGGCGATGGAAACGGTAGTGAGGGGAAACCTGTCAACAATGGTATGCGAATGCTTTGAATCTGCTGTGCACTGTGATTTCGAGCGGGGCGGGGGGGGGTACTGGATAATTGGCAGGGATGTGTGCCCGCGTTAGGATATGAGGAGGAAGAGGAGGAGGAGGAGGAGGAGGAGGAGGAGGAGGAGGAGGAGGAGGAGGAGGAAGGGATCTAGTGGAGGGGGACGGGGGACTTGGAAGGGGGATGGAGGGGGGGATGGGGGGCGTTCGCGGGGGAGGGCGGCAGTGCTGGCGGAGTGATGAGCAACCGTGGCGGAAAAAGACAAGAGGCAGCCAGGGAACGGGGGCCCACATCGGCGTGTCACGTGGTCGTGGGTGCCATGGAGCGCGAGGGGTGTCACGCGGCGCCCCAGGTTTCCCACTCTCGAGGCCGGCTCCAGTGTGGCCACGATCCAGGCGAGCCCTCGCCCCCTTCGTCAAGCCCCCCTCCGCATCGTCATTCGGTCGTCCGCAGTTTCCTGTTGTCTGCCATCCTGTCTACTCTATCTCTGCGAGTCCTCCTCGCTTGGGAGCCACAGTATGGAGATGCTTGTGTGCTGCGGGCATCTCGCAGTTGCTATGCGTCGTGTGCCTGCAGCGCGTGCACACCCTCGCCTGGCACGCCCGGCAGTTCTCGCGTGCATTCGCCCGGGCATGCCACACTGCGCGTCGCGTACTGCTGCCAACTTTGGTAACGTGCGCATGATCTGTCTTAAACGTAGGCGCATCAGCGCAAGCAGTTCTGCTGACTGCCGTTGTGCGCATCTGGCGCTCAGCCATGCCGGTCACGCGGGCTAGTGCCAGAGCCGCGGTCGGCTCGGGGCATTGCTGCGCGCGGCCAGGGTCGAGCGCCGCTCCCATCGTCGCGGTGCGACGCGCCGAGCCGTCTGGCGTCCGCGCCAAGGTCGTGTGCTGTGGGCCCTCTTGGGGTCCTCTTGGGAGGGAGTGTCTCGGGGCCTTCTTGGGGTCCTCTTGTGGTTGCTTTGGGGAGCAGCGGGCCCTTTTGGGGCTCTTCCCATGGCTCACAAGGAGAGGGGGGGGCGTCAGTTCGGGTTCCACCCTCGGGAGCCGAAGCGTCTTCTCTTGGGGGCGTCTTGGGGGCCTCTTGGGCCGTCGTGGGGCTCGCTTGGGCTCCTCTTGGGCTTCTGTGGGGCCATCTTGGGGCCATCTTCGGACTTCCCACCGGCCCTCCCATCACAGAGGTAGCCCGAGTCTCAGCATGGGCAGGGGCCGCCATCGACAACCATCGGGAACCCATGCAGACGCCAGCCAGGTGCCTGACGCCCGCGAGGTGCGCCGCGCGTGCCACCGCATCCCTATCATCCCGTTTACCTGTCAAATAGCAATGCGAAGTTATCGCGGGGCGCCTGCACATGACCCAAGATTTGGCCGCGACGCGAACCTTGCATTGGTTATTGACGTGGATGGTGGACCTGCACATGCGGGGCAATCTGCGAATACCCACCTTGTCCAGCCCAAACCAGTCTAATGTAATGGCGGGGCGCTCGAACATGATCCAGATTTTACCGCGAAGTGCGTGTGGCATTGTTTCCTGATCGGTTGTGTGTGTGTGTGTGTGTGTGATGTGACATTGGCCCTGGCGAGGCTGGCAGAGAGGGGGGGGGGATCTGTTAATCAGGAGCAGTACTACTAGCCCCTTCCCCGATTGGGGGAAAATCCTTTCCCCGACAACGGAATAATAGGTTTCGGAAAGGGGGGATACAAATATCGTTGTGCCACCTCCGCCCAGAGGGCGTTTCTCGACGGTCCCAGGGCCCCCAGAGGCCGAGCATCGCGAAAAACGTTCCCTCGTGATTCTGTCATGACCCGTGGCTGGGTGGGAGCCACAAGCCTGCAGTCCAAGCTGGGCGCCCCCCGCGCCTGGCAGGAGGAGGAGGAGGAAAAACAGGAACAGGCACAGGAGGAGGATGAGGAGGAGCAGGAGGAGGAGGAGGAGGAGGAGGAGGAGGAGGAGGAGGAGGAGGAGGAGGAAGAGGAGGAGGAGGAGGAGGAGGAGGAGGAAAAGGATGAAGCAACAAGAGGTGGTTGGTGTGGTGGTACTCAGCATCTGGTCAACTCTGCATCTCCCGGGGAATTCCAATCGACCGCTGTGCGCTTGGACGGTGGAGGGGCCCCTCAAGCGAGTTATAATTCGGCACGCCGCCACGACTGGCTGTCCAATCAGGGGACACCATGGATACAATGGGGTCGAGAAGCCTTACGAACACATAAGTATTAATATTCATAAGATGAATACCGCGAATCATAACTACCATGCTAATAATCATATTGATAACATGAACAAGAGGGGGAGGAGGAGAATGGGGAGGAGGAGGAGGAGGAGGAGGAGGAGGAGGAGGAGGAGGAGGAGGAGGAGGAGGAGGAGGGCCGGTGCTCTCGCCTCCCTGCCGAGGGGCGGTGCGAACCACCGCAGGGGCTCCTCCGCGCCTCGCGGCGGCAGCGCGGCCGAAGCGGGTGCGCCTCGCGCGCCGGTGCCCGCCGCGCCGCATGCGGGAGCGCCTGGTTTGGGCCCGCGCCCAGCCAGCGCCACAGTCCCGGGCGCGTCGTCGTCGTCGTCGTCGTCGTCGTCGTCGTCGTCGTCGTCGTCGTCGTCGTGGGGGGCCCTCGTCGCGGGGCTCTGCCCCGTGGCGGCGCCGGGGGGCCCTCAGAGCCTGGCGTTGCCACTTTTTCACGGCGGGCGTCTGCTCTCGGTCTCGGGCCCCCAGGGTCCTCCACATCCTCCCGCGCCTCCCCCTCCTCCTCCTCCCCCTCCTCGTCCTCCTCGTGCCCCTCGTCCGTGTGCCCCTCGTCCTCGTCCTCGTCCTCGTCGTCCTCGTCGTCCTCCCTGTCCTCCTCCTGCCCCCCTCCTCCTCCTCCTCCTCCTCCTCCTCCTCCTCCTCCTCCTCCTCCTCCTCCTCCTCCTCCTCCTCCTCCTCCTCCTCCTGCCCCTCCTCCTCCTCCTCCTCCTCCTCCTGCCCCTCCCTTTCCTCCCCCTCCTCCTCCCCCCCCTCCTCCCGTCCAGTCTCCGCGCGCGCCTCGCCGCGCCACCAGCCCGCGCGAGGCGGAGCTGCACCGCCAGGGCAAGTCCCAGTGCCCCAAGCCCTGCGCGGCCGCCGACGGCGCGCCGTACCACGCCCTGGGCGCCCAGGCGGCTGGCCTCCGGACGCGCGTCAAGTCGGAG